TACACTTTTTATTTAAATATATTGTTTCATTCCCGACCGGTTCCTCAATGAGGTGGAGACAAACGTCGAAAGTCAATAAGTTTATTCTGGTTCAGTGTGATGCTTGATAATTGAATTGAGAATAAACAAGAAGTTTGAGAATGTTTAGAGAAGGTGTTTAAAACAAACAGCAACGACACCGAGATTGACTGTACTTTGTGATCACTAATGTTTCAAGACTTCATTCAGTACAATTGTTAAACAAACTCATATTGACAGCTCATTGTGATTTTTTTAAAATGTTTATTTAAACATTCTTTTCATCAACATATTTTGTTTATCACCAACATATTCTGCTTATTGAAAACTCTTTCAACAATTAATTCAATAGGGATTTTTTGCTGAACACTTCAAATTTCCTAACAACAACCTTCCCAATATTTTCGTCGCCACTAATTTTGCGATTAAATGGAGTCGATATCAATGACCTTTTCAAATGAATATTCTTCGGAAAAGAATTCGTTCGTATGCGATATTGTGTTTTCAAAACAAAAAAAAAATCAGTCATAAAATTTATCAAATTCTGTCGATTGATCACACGTGCGTGCTGTCATATGTTCAATCATATTTACTCTCTTTCCATCACTGTATCAAACACAAATCGTACTAATATTAGTACGAATATTCTGAAACAAAGAAAATGAGACAGCCAACGCATCCAAAATGAATAATTGCCACTTAAAAATGCATGCATTTCAGTTGAGTTTTTCTTGAATAGTTTTTCTGCTTAATGAAACCATCGACACTTTCAACAGAAACGTTCGTCGTGATCTTTCATATTGTTACGTTCACATCTGAATGATTAATGAGTGTAAAGCAGCCGAATTTGGCCCATAAAAATTGCTTGCTGAGAATTGATACTGGCATTTTTCTAAAATTGTAACATGCAAATTGTCAATTTTTTTACGTTCGGTACCATCGAATGAAGCTGTAAATTATCGCAAATGTGGAGACTAAATTCAAATTGGAATTTCGAAGGTGAGAGAAATTAAAATGAATATTGCAATGAATGAACGAAGAGAAACTGANAAAAAAGCGTAAATGTCCCAATTCTAAGCGGATTAAGACGGCATATTAAACAGTTTGAGATAGCAGTCGAATCGCAAGAGCTCCTTTATTTGTGCTGGAAGGAAGCGCTCACTGATTTGAATGTTTTAGCGATGATAAATGATACAATTATGATACATCTTATAAATCATTATTGTATCATTTCATACGAAGTTTGATGCATCAATATAAAATTATAATCATTCGAATACGTAGAATCAAATCAGTTCCGCTTTATGACTTATTTCCACTCGAGTACTACTTCGAATTGTTCGATGAAGGCTCGTTGATCGATCTATACGTCAAGTTGAATTTTGTCACTGAAAGATTCTTGCAATGGCGTCCTTTCATCTGCACACTAAACGTTTTGATTTGCTGAAAATTAAACCACAATGATCACAATTACGAATATGGGCATTTTATTGTAAGCAAATCGATGTGTTCAATGGCATTCTGAGAATTCGCTTCTCTAAATGAACCAGCGAGTGCAAGCAGCTCAAAAGAGCAACATTAAAATCATTCAAAAAAGCCACAAATGCGGAATCTTGCGCCAAGTGTCAGCATCTCACATCATCATATCCTCCAGGCGTCTGAATCAGTCTGTCTCAATTTCTACTTACTATTCGTTTCTCTGCATTGCTTTCATACATCATGTGTTTTAAAGTTTCGCGTTATAATTCTAAAATATTATACTTTATATCGCTTTGATATGGTTATACTTAACAAATAAACGTTTTCTTATCAGTTTCATGCAAAAAAAGATTTCGATATAAACGGCAATGAACTGGTTTAGTTTAATGGTTCACTTTGTTCATTCACTGTTAATCGCATTTGTTTCATGATATTTGCTTGCTTAGAGAATGCAAAATTTTCAAAAAAATTGCTTTTTCTACATCAACTATATTGTTTTTATTAGAGTGTGGAACTGGATTATTTCGAGTAAATTTTGGAACATTCTTCTTCTGCAGTCGAACAAACACAAAAAAAACCCCCACATCATAGAATCTGT